ATTGGGAGGGCATGGGTTGACCTTTTTTTTAAAAAAAAATATTATTTTATTTATTAACAAACATAAATCATGATTACACATAACAAATAATACAAATAATTACAAATAGTGGTTACAGATGGTGCTACGGGCTTACTTGTCTTAATTCAGATAATAGTTCTTGAAGATTTTGATATTTATTTACATGAGAGTGTAACTTGCTTTTTTTTCTGGCAATTCTTCTTTCTATTTTTTCATATTCTAAAAGTTTCATTTGAAATACAATAATATTGGGCCTAGAGCCTCTAATTCTAGCATTATGTAATACATATTTATATAATAGAAAAAGAAATTATATTATATATTGTATTATATAATGCTAGAATTAGAGGCTCTAGGCCCAATGTGGCATGGGTTGGTTGGGCATGGGTTGAGCTATTTCATGGAGATTCGAAAAGGGTACTCCATGAATTTCTTGTATACATCACCTCAAAAAAAGTCAAGATTACCATGTTTTGCCTTCGAATACCATTTAATCCTTTTAATGCAAAATGTAAAAATTAAAAAAAAGTTAGGTGTCATCGTACTATATTCGAAGCCATAAGCCAAAAATGTGCGAAAAATTTTATGATTTTGATGTTTTGGCCATGCGAGCATGGGTACTAACTGCTATTAAGGCCCATCGGTAATGTAATGGAGTTTTTTTGAACCACATGGCGAGAAATCTTTGACACTTGTGCCAATCAGCGGTGAGTTGACCGCGGACGCAAAAGGTGCTTAGAGACAAATTCAAAATGGAATCTTGAATGCATCATTTTGCTGGCTATTGCAATGCTTTTCACAATTTCAGCGACTTCCTTGAGCCGGTCGAGATTAAAGCAAACCAAAACATCTAAAAGATATTTCGAAGTGGAGAGGGTTGTTTCAAGGCGATGTAGGAAAGAAAATGTAAGGAAATTTTGTCATTTGAATATTCGATTAATGCATAGTTTCTATATGATCAAATGTATGCTTCAAGCTCAAGTTAGTCTTTCTTTTACTCTCTTATCTTAAAAATCTGCTTCTAAAAACCTCATCATATTCATTTATGTTTTAATAGACTGAATATCTCATAAAATGGAAAGATTACTGCAACTACGAGTGCAGTTGGGAGGATGAAACCCATTTCAAGATGGTAAACTTGTTGCTCAGCCAAGAATGCCTCTTGGAAAACTATCAGTTCAATTTATCAGTAAGCCTTTTTCTATTTCAAACATTTCTTAAAGTGAAGAGCATCACAAAAAGTGGCTTGTCCTCCTATTATATATATTGTAGATATTTTCTTAGCTGCAAATACTTCTTTTCATGATTTGTGTTGAAACTCCATTCTTGCAGTTTCTTTTGCAGAATGTTTTTGGTGTTTGCACTGGATTTTTCATCTGGCTTTAACAATGTTATTTCCTCATTTCTTCAAAGATCTTAATTAAGTTCCTTTTTACTCGTGAAACCTTGATGAAAGGGTCTTCTAGTTTCAAATGGATTTTTGCTTGAGTGTTGAATAATTCCAACTTTGGTTAAGAATGTCTTTGTGTTTAAATTTGCATTTGAGGTATCAGTATTCAAAAGTAAAAGCACATATTTCCTGCAATTAGGAGATCTGGCGAAAGGTGGTTAATGCATTCTCCCAGTCAAATTTTTAGGGGAGCTCCTGCGCGAGCAGAGCACCATAGGCATAGAATATGGTAAACTATGTAACTCGTGGTCATCGCATCGGAACCCTGTGTGTAATGCTAAAAGTGTCGTCCGCCCGGTGTACCTAGCGTTCCTGATTGGTCAAGCTTTGAAATCACACGTCACTTGGAAAATGATGACTTTTAATTTTTTAACGAGCTTTTTAAATGTCATTTTTTTGGAAATATTGTAAAAACAAAACAAAAAATTATTGAAGAAATCGTGGAAAAAAATAATTCGCCACAGTGTGAAGATAGTGGTTAGGACATTTTCTATTTGGTTTCATTTAGTGTAGATAACATAGATACAACATTACCGCAAAACAAGCAACAAACTAGCATGACAAACAAGCGAAAAAAGTACTTGTTTTGTTCTTATGGTAAGAGTATTCGTAGTTCATGCATGATATGAAATAATCATTTGAAAAAGCACTTTTTGACAAAGTTTAAAGCTAAATAACATTCCTAGAATTACTGGCAAACAAGCAACGAACTAGATTGACCAACGTGTGAAAAAAGGGTACCTGTTTTGTTATTATGGTAAGAGTACTTTCATTTTGTATTTCATTTAATAATTTTATATCTTTCTACATATAATTTATCTAAATATTGAATGAGTTAAAATTACACCAAATATTCAACTGTTTATTGAGATTTTCGACCAAGTACATGATTATAAAAATGAGCTTAAATTTGTGTAAGACTCAAGCAAAGTGGGAAATGAAACTTTTTGACTACCCTTGAAATTTGGTGTTCGAGTAGGCCTTTTCATGGGATTCACAAAAACAACAACAATTTGGTCACCAAATGCATTGTTGCCATGGAAACAGCAAGTGTTTTATGAGACCTTAATTTCCAATTTTTGGAATAAATTAAACCCACTCGAAGGTGGGCTTATAGATCGTTTTCAGTCACGTGACCAGGTTAAGATTGGCGGCCATGTTGGCGCACCTCAGATGTAAACAAATACGAGAGAAGTGGTAGTGAGAATATGGTTTTGTGCGAGATTTTCGGCTGTGGCACCAAAAGTGTATGCGATAAACGGGTCCACATGGCCAGAATACCCTCAGTAATCATAAGCCAAGGTGAAGAAGTGAAAAAACTGTCAGAGGAGAGGCGAAAAAGGTGGATTTCTGCGATCAGTAGAAAAGATCTGACGGACGCCATTCTCGTGCACGGTTGTGTCTGTGCCAAGCATTTCGTCTCGGGAAGAGCCGCGAAACTCTGAGATAAGTTTGATCCTGACTGGGTTCCTACACAAAACTTAGGCTACAATAATTTTGATCCAATCAAAAAATTACAAGCTGGTTTAGAAGCAGCGGCAAAACGAGACGAGAGGACTAGAGAACGTGAGCTGAAACGTGCTGCTGAACATGAGTTACAGCGCAAAGAGGAAGCCAAACAAGACAGAATCAAAGGCAAAAGTTGAATGAGCCTGGAGAGAAGATAATCGACGTAGAGTTCGAAAATGATCCTTCTATGACAGAACCTGGAACAGGAACAGCAACACAAACAGATGAGTTTGATTATTTATTTCACGACCCGATCGTAAAGCCTCCCCTCGAAGAAAGTTATTTCGTGAACGATGACAAGGTCCGGTTCTACACAGGATTGCCAGGATATGATGTTTTACAGACAGTGTTTTGAAATGTTTCTACATTTGTTACGAGGAAATCTCCAACCCTGTTGAAGTTCCAAGAGTTGATTCAGAAACTCATTAAATTAAAGTGGAACATGCCAATGCAAGATTTAGCATATCGATTTGGTGTTTCCTTGCCAACCGTGTCAAGGCTATTTTTAGCATGGATGATTTTTCTTGATGTCCGACTATCTCCATTAATTATGTGGCCAGAGCAGGATGATTTGTGGCTATGCCAGAATGTTTYCAATTCTCATTTGGAAATAAGACAACAGTCATCATTGACTGTTTTGAGGTTTTTATTATGAGGCCTTCAAACCTCATGGTGCGAGCACAGACTTATTCTAATTATAAAAGTCACAACACTGTTAAAATCCTAATTGGCATTACACCTCAGGGAAGTATTTCATTTGTGTTGCACGTGTGGGGTGGAAGAACTTCCGATAAGTTTATAACAGACCATTGTGGAATACTGAAAAACCTTTTGCCTGGAGATTTAGTGATGGCTGACCGTGACTTCACAATTCAGGAAAGCCTTACAGTTCACAGAGCTGAACTTGCCATTCCAGCCTTCACTAAAGGAAAGGATCAGCTAGACCCCATTGATGTTGAGCGTACCCGTGGCATTGCTAATGTCAGGATTCACGTAGAAAGAGTAATTGGGCTACTCAGGAGGAAATATACAATTGTGTCTGGTATTTTGCCTATCGACTTCCTCCAAAGTGACCCCAATGACTCCCAAGTCGCTAAGAAACCAATGATAGACAGAATCATAACAGTTACTGCTGCACTGACAAACTTATCTACAGGCATTGTACCATTTTATTTAAGATCCAGCAATCTCAGAGTTGTTGCTCAGAAATTATTAATATAAATGTGTCTATCACTGGATGTTATTTCACTGTGTGTGAGGGAAATTTGAAATTGAATTTATTAATTAAAACAATACTGTATATGTTTAATTGTTTCAAACAATCTGTACATAAGAAGTTCAAGTGGTAGGGGAAGGAGTAATTTCTCTGCCCATAATGTATTGCAACAGGTGTGGACGCATCTGATAAACAATATAACTTTGATTAGACGGATTTTGCCCATAAACAATACTTGTTGCAAAATTGAAAAATTAAACGAGACTTACCTAAGTCGAAGTTGGATTGAGATTCTACCGTAGCATTTGCAGGAATGAGGAGGTCACGTGAGATAGCAAGCATTGAGTATCCGAGCTCAGTCTTTAAAGCGATTTTGGGGGACTTTGAAAATAAATATTCTATGTGTAGAGTATCATGGGCAACAGCATAGGGCTTGGGTGGGATGTGACCTCATTCCTGCAAATGCTACGGTAGAATCTCAATCCAACTTCGACTTAGGTAAGTCTCGTTTAATTTTTCAATTCTACCTCGCATTTGCATACAATCGAAGGTCACGTGAGATTTTAAAGCTCAAAGGCTCCCAAAATCAACCACACATAGCCCAAGCAGCAACATGTATAAATTGTATTTTTTGTTCCACTAGAACATACATAGGTCATAGCCCAAAGCCTAGAAAGCTAGAGTATGATATACTAAATCTAGACTGAATCTCAGAGAATAATAAAGTCAATTACTTGGTTAAAACTGCTTCAGCAAATTTGTTCTCTCTATAGATTGGTCTGTCATAAAACTTTGCAAACACTGAGTCTGATCTCCACCCAGCAGTGGTCATTATGTCCTGAATGGGGACATCTGCTGCTTTAGCTGCTGAAGTAGATGCTGATCTTGTGCTGTGGCTTTTARRGATATCAGTGTTTATGCCAGCTGCCTTCATTGTCTGTTTTAACCATCTAGATATAGTGTCTTTAGATGCTGGGCCATGAGGCTCTGCATGACAAATCAGAAGTTGTCTGGTATTCTTACGAATGGCAGCTGTTCTTGTGATATATRCATTTAGCAGAGTCACAATACAAAGTCTTTTGTCTGAACTGTAACGTTTAAATACGATGGGATGCAGATGGCGGTTCTTTCCACCTCTTGCACTTGTCTGTTTAAGGCATGAGGTGATTCTGAAAGAGTATTCATCAGGCTTTACTGTCATGCTATCAAGAGATAACTTTTGTAGTGTTTGAGTTCTCTGAGCAGATATTAGTGCCATTATCATTACCGTTTTCAATGTTAGGAGCTTTAGAGATAAATCTTCAACAACTGGAAAATCCTTTAAAAAGGTGAGTACTTGTTGTGGGTCCCAGGTCTCTAAGTATCTCGGTAATGCAGGTTTTATATTGAACAAACCTGACGTGAACCTGGAGACTACAGGGTGGCTTCCTACTTTCACACCATCTACTGTAATGAAGGTGGAGAGTGCACTTCTTGCTGTTCCTACAGCACTGTAGCTCATCCTCTTAGAGAGCTGAGTCAGGAAGTCTAGGACCTGTTGTAGTTCAGGGTGTAACTGGTTAACATTGTTATCTTTGCAGAACTGAACCCAAGATGAAATGTAAGTCTGGTATTGTTTATGAGTTCCCTCTCTCCATGATTTCAATATAATGTCAAGAGGTTCACCAAATACTCCTTGGCTGGTCAAGGCAGACTTGACACAAGACAGCCAATGAGTTTTAGTTTCGGATACAGAGGGTGCACTTCCTTTGGGCTGTAAGGTAGTGTTAATGTTTGGCTGTGGTTGTTTATCTTGACAGGCTGATCCTGCATCATTTGAAGTAAGCGTGAGTACCAGAACTGTGTTTCCCACTGTGGGACCACCAAGATTGCCATAACTTTGCTTAGTTGTACATGTATGTACTGAAGGACTTTCCCTATCAGGCTAAAAGGGGGAAAACAATATATCAGTTGATATTTTGCCCAGTCAACAGTAAAGGCATCAATGGCTATTGCCCCTGGGTCAGGCTTCCAGGCAATATATTTTTCAACCTTATAATTCAATCTGGAAGCAAACATATCCACTTCAGGCATTCCCCACTTAGCTGCCAGGCTCTGAAAGCAAACTAAGTCAAGAGACCATTCGGTATTGCTATGGAAATCTCGGCTAGCTCTGTCCGCCTCTATGTTGARTTTGCCTGGCAAATGGGATATGGATAATGTTAATTCTCTTTCTCTACACCAAAGAATAATTTCCCTTGTAATTTCATTGCACTGAAGGGAATGTGTACCTCCCATATGCTGAAGGTATGATACTGCTGTAGTATTGTCACACAGTATTTTAATGGCCTTTGCCYGCAGGTGTCCACAGAGTGCTTTGAGTGACAGAAAGATTGCTTTTATTTCTAGGTAATTAATGTGATGGTTTGCTTCTTCAGCTGACCATCTGCCCCTTGCTAATAACTTAGAACCCTCAATTATGCCACCCCATCCCTTTAGGGAACTATCAGTTTTGAGAGTTATGGTAGGTGGCTGTAAGAYTACAGGATTGGGACAGTGGTCAATATCTGAAATCCACCATCTCAAATCSTCCCTGGCAAGGGGTGAGATGGTCATATCACCAWCTAGGTTCCAGCCATTAGACTTTAAGGCAATCGTCTTGTCATTCTCTAGGGATCTGTAGAATAAAGGTCCATAATAGACACCTGGGAAGGAAGCCACCATAAGTCCCACTACTGAGGCAACCTCTCTTATGGGTACACGCCCCTTATGACTCAACAGAGCTTTGCATGCAATTTTAATTTTCTTTGCTTTTTCTGGGACCATGGAGACTTGCATGTTGATTGAATTTATGATAAAACCYAAAAATTGAACCTCTTGGGTAGGRTTTGTTACTGACTTAGTATCATGAACAGTGAAGCCCAGGGATGTGAGCAAGCACATTGTCTCTCTTATTTGTGTTTTGAGTACCTCAGATGAGTCAGCAAGTAGCAGGATATCATCAATGTACCCTACTAACTGGTTACCTTTTGATCTAAGTGATGCATAAACTGGTTTCATTGATTTAGTGAACACTCTTGGTGCACTTGATAACCCATTGAGCAGACAGGTGAACTCATAAACTGAGTTTCTGAACACAAATCTGAGGAACTTTCTATGTTTCTGGGCTACAGATACTGAATAATATGCATCTTGAGATCAAGTACTGCCATCCAAGACCCTTGTCTTAATAACTGGGTAGCAGATTGTAAGGATTCCATCTTGACATGATGGTAGGTAACATGCTCATTGAGCTTTTTTAGATTTAGGATGAGTCTGTGAGATCCATCCTTCTTTGGTCTTGTAAAGATTGTTGAGATGAATTCATCCTTACAATGAGACGTTTTCTCAATAACCTGTTTTTTGAAGAGTTTATCAATTTCTGTGGCAATAATTTGTTCTTCACCCTTGGAAAACTGAACAAAAGGTGTTGCAGTTTGACAGGGAATAGTGTCAAAGGCTATATGATAGCTAGTAATGATCTCAAGGATGTTAATATCAGAGGTGATTTGCCTCCAATTATCAACAAATTTAGTTATGTTGCCTGCCTTAAAATTTGTGGCACTTACCAGCTCATCATAGCTAATTGGGTGTGATTTCAGGTTTATTTGGATTGTTGTTGTGGTGTTTTGGAGCCCTTCTGAGCTTCTTTCCTCCTCCAAGGAGCTGTAGCCTTGGCCTCTGAAGTTTTTTGAACCCCTCTGAGAGTATTTGTAGGATCCACCACTGTTGTTGTTCTGTTGCCCTTTGGTCTGGAATTTAGCTCCAATTTTATTTTCATCTCCTATATCTTTGAGCTGTTTCTGGAGATCATCACCAAAGAGCATATCTGAGAAAGGGACCTGAGGAGAGCATAGGACTGCATAGTCTTTTCCTATGTCTGTTTTCATTAGTTGTTTTCGCWGCATGTTTATTTCATAATTGACATGAGTTAATAGTGATAAAGCCTCAAGGCCCATTTTCTTCATGTCCTGCAGCTGTTCTTTGTCCACACGTCCTGTCATGGACAGGTCAGTCATGCGTGCGACTGGTATTATCCCCTTTACTAAGGCCTGTTGTATCTTATACATCTGAAGATCTCTCTTCTTGGTATACTCACCAAGTTTACGCCAGATGCCTTGGTTCACCCGTGTAGGTTTAACATTCTGGCAGTTTTCYGGSCTCTCTTGACGGTCAATTTTGTCTTTCAGGCCCTTGTCAGGWATACRATGCCTGAACATTTTATCGACTAGTTTGGCTAGYTGTTTGTTTTGAAGCTTAGCCCCGACAAGGTCGTCCGACTCATACTCTTTTTGTAGCTCTGAGAGCGTGTCGTCGAGTGAGTCATCTGAATCRTTTTCGCCATCTGACARCCCTGGCTTCAAGAGCTCATTAAGGAGCTCATTTGTGTCGCTGTCATCCCCTGTAATTTCTGAGGATGATTTGCCTTCGCTCGTGGAGCGATGGCCGTCATGGYGAGATTTTTTGGCGGGAAGATTCTCGGCATCTGTAGATTGTCGTTTAGCCGGACCTTTCCCTTTTCCCTTCACGGAAGGGGCCTCTTCTTTCTGTGTAAGATGTTTAGTTAAGTTTAGAATGGCTGATGTTAGTAGTTTTATCTCAGAACTACTGCCCTCTGTGGTATTTTGGTGGCTGGACTTCGAGGAGGTCCTTTCTTGTATACTYGTGTGGGCCRCAGGATTCTTAGGCTCGTTCAGGTCGTCCCCTTCCACGTCAGATTCTAGATKCACATCTTCTGGAGGTTTCGGAAGTRTTGATTTGGCCGTATTGTCCATCTTTGTAGAGKAAAATTCYAATAATTGGTATTAAACTCAACGTGAGTTCTCATTTACCGACTGTTCGCTCGGACGTCAAACTCGCACTGAGCTCGGATACTCAATGCTTGCTATCTCACGTGACCTTCGATTGTATGCAAATGCGAGGTAGAATCAATTGCGAACACACCACAGTCATTTCCATTTTGCTGTTGCTGAACTGACACGCTGCA